AATAGTATAGAAATAACTCTCATCGTCAGTAAATAATGCAAATCAGCAGATAAACTTATCAGGTTACCTGCTTGAGCTTTCACATTTCTAACTTTCTACGCCATCTTGACATTCGCTCCTTTCAAACCTTGCATTACTCGTCCACTTTCTAACATAGTCTGATAGCTGGGATTCTAACAATTCATATATTATAGGTGTGGAAGAATTAATATAATACATATATAGATACTAATAAATTCATAAATTGTTCAATATAAATTTTCTAAAACTCCATTACGCGCAACTACTCTATGTGCTAATAATTTAGAAAAAGCAGGAGGAATATGACGATGAAGCAATCGAAGCTTTTTGTTGATCTCATGTGCTTCGCGTTCTAAAGGAGTCATCTCATCAACAAAGTCATCAAGATTACCTACATCTTCACTATCGCTATCTTCATTGATCACAGTCAGTTCATGTGGAACAACTCGTCGTTCATATGTAGGGAATTGGTCTGCAATTTTTCCCCGGATCAAATCGGGATTCAAAACCATGCGTGCAAATGTTGCTGCCGCATGTGTATCATCAAACCAAGCTGTAAAAACCGCAAGTTCAGATTGATTATGGTAGGCAACCCAGAAGAAACCGAACTTTTCAAAATCTGTCAATATCACAATTGGTTTTTCAGATGAAATAGTGTTTGCAGCAATTAATTCTGCTATTGCTTGGTTGGCATCACTTGAACCTTGAATTTTCTGCATTAAATAAAAATGGTTAAATATAAATAAATAATTACATTGATCAGACTAAACGTGCCTTTTTTATTTCAAACACGATTCTAATCCCTTGTCGATGGAATGGCGCCTTTGTTTCTTTGTAAACGGATACATCGCATCCTCCATGAAGATGTGAAGTATTTAAGTAATTCTTGTCCATATGAACGTCCTCCACAATGTTACCACGAAGATATTGAGATCCAAGAAATTTGTCTCGGATATACTCAGTGTAATCATCAGCCTGTTGATTTTCTGTACGGTCTTCATCCCATTGAAACAGTCCTGGATTTCTACCAATTAGACGAAGACCATTAAACAGTTCTCCGACATCCCTCAAAGCATCTGCAAGGCCAAATTTTCTTGTAATCTTCAACCTCCTTCTGAGTGAGGACAAAGAGGACATGGCAACGGGTTCCTCGTCTCGCTGACGTTTCAGAGTTGCGTCGACTACAGATTCGATAAGATTTGGATCTAGAGGAAATAAATTTATGTAAGCACAAGTCAGTCAGCATCGCAAATAGGCGAAAGCTATACTTTTTAGATGTGTTACTACAGTAACCTTCTCCCATAAAACAGTATTAAAACCGTATTGCTACATTTACTACAAGTGGAATAGCATTTGTTATGCTCTTACTCTACGCTCCTCACTAGCTTCACAACAGATATAGAAAAACACATAACAACCACCTATGTCCCCAACGCCCGAGTCACAGTCATTACCTGGCTGAGTGGTCAATGTTACGAGTGCATTCCGTATGTTTTCCACCTG